TGAGACCAACCTGAGCAAGAGTGAGACCCCATCTCTATAAAAAATAGAAAAATTAGCTGGGCATGGTAGCGTGTGCCTGTAGTTCAAGCTACTCAGGAGGCTGAGGTGGGAGGATCACATGAGCCCAGGAGTTCGAGGTTGCAGTGAGTTACGATGATGACACTGCACTCTAGCCCGGGCAGCAGAGAGAGAAACCCTGTCTCAGAAAAAAAGAAAAAAGAAAAGAAGAAAATAGGAAGTTATGTGTGTGTGTAGATGGCACTTTTAAAATCCAATCCAGATTAATAGTATTATTTTTCTATATGAAATATAATACTTTAGGTTTTAGAATTTCAAGGAAATAATAGTGTGTACAGGAAAAAAGGAGACAAATTTAAAATGCAAATACTTTATTTGTGAATGAATATACAGGTATATCAATCAATAGCTTACATTCAGATAATATCCAAACAATTCAAAAAACACAATGCAATAATTTTTAAACAATGCATGACACTGAGGTGTAAGATTCTCTACAAAGTTATAAAAATCTATCCTACTGAATTTCTCTGATACCTTCATAAACTTAGAAATCACTAAACATGGTGCTCCCGTAGCCACTCAAGTCACTCTGGCATTTTGTTTCAAGCCAGGTGACCTACTTCAGGATGGTTCCTTTTGCTTGGCTGCACCTGGGTCCACTCAGGCAAATTAATTAATTGAATACCTATAGGTGAGAGGTTACATTCAATGCACTATCTATTGAGCACCTGCTGGCTATCTCAGTGCTCGGTTCTATGGCAGAGACAAATGTGGACCATGGTCTCTAATAAAGCCAATAATGTATGCTAGGACTCGACCACGTTCCCTCCCTTCAGCTTCTCTGGACATCAGATGAAAGATCTGACAACCATTAAGGTAGCAGCTGTGGTCATCCATCCAGAAGGTAATCGCTTTAACTGATAGACCATGCTCATACATGTCCATGAGTCATGATTAAAGGGACTGTTTTGAAGACTTCCCGTGACTATGAGCAAATTGCTCCTTGCCAGCCCTCAGAGATGCCCACCTGATTTCCACCTCCCACACCGTATTTGGGAGATTTTTAAAAGAATAGGTTTCACACACTCACAATAAATCCAAAATTGCAGCAAAATGAACATCTGAATTAAAGATAAATTCCTTAACCCTCAGAGCTGCTGAAAGTCTCCATCAGAGAGTTGTTTACAGCACCTACATGCTCATAGCTTCTCTTTCTAATCCTGATCCAGTTTATTATATGTGCCTAATGATAAAACTGCTACTGATTGCCTTAGCAACATATCTATTTGCTAAAAGGGGAAATAAATTCTGAGATTTATTTTAGATTTTCTGCCAGTTCCCTTATACTGATTTGGTAAATACTTCTGAAAAGCAATAGATATTAATAGCCTAGAAATAGTAGCAGAAGATATTTCATGTGAGTCGACCTTTATGAAGATGTTAGTTTATTTTTTTAATATGAATCAAAGAGTTTTGGTGCCATCAATGTTCTTTAATAGTCTTCATTAAAATATTGTTTCTGAAAAAAATATTATTTCTGCTCTAACACTATATTTAGTCTCCTAGTAATATCCTGAATTTTTGCATATTGGAATTTCCCACATAGGAATGTATATATGGTTAAATAACGATTACTCTGAGGAAGCCTTAACTGTAGATTTGAAAATAAATGATTAGTGCTTCAAGGCAATATAGTATGTAAATCAGATAAAAATGCAAGGTTAAAACACAAGAATTTCTGAATCCTTATTGTAGGTTCACAGCAAAAGGAACTGTAGCCTTATAATTTGGTTATCTGTTATTTACATTTCACTTCAACATTCCTCTGCTTTTGCTTTTTTCTCTGATCAGATTCTGTTGGTAAATGAAAAGCAAAACAAATGGACACGTTTTAAAAACTGAACCCAAATACTAAAAGGTGGCAGATCACAGAACAGCCAAATACCACAAAAGGATTTTTAGCATTTTATTTCCATGCTTCAATTTGCTGGCTAAAAGCTACCTCAGGATTTACCCACAATTTAGGAAGTTAAGTAAGCAGCTTTCCCAAGAAAAGAGAAGAACGTGACAGGGCCTGCACTCTGTTGGAATATAAGCATATCTGGACTACCTTTGGGGGCACAGTGCCAGAGCACCAGAGTCTGCACCCTGTAATTAACTTTTGCAATAGGAGTCTCATCTCCAAAAGGATCCTTTTAAGGAGTTTATGTGTTTACCTTATTTTCAAAGGGATTGTTCTACTGAATCATTAAATTCTGTGAGTATTCAAAAATTTAGAACTTTATCTTGGTTTAGTTTGGTTTTTATTTATAAGGAATATCATACAGCTAATTAGTAGACTACCTAGAATAGATAATATCTATGTGACTTGTTGAAAGATAAGTTATCGAAAGAGTTTGAAAGCCTAATTATTACTAACAGTTGTTGAGCACTCATTATATGCCATGTAACGTTCTAAGTGCTTTTATGCATGATTCATTCATTCATCGTATTCCTATTGTCTACTTATTCTAGGTCCTGGTGAACAGCAGTGAACAAAACAAAATCCCTGCTTTTGTGGTGTTTATATTTCACTGGGGAAACAATCAACAATTAAATAAGTAAAACATGAAGTATGTGTGATGAAGATAAGTGCTATGGAGAAAAATTAAGCGGAGAAGGGAGATAGTGAGTGGCTGTGTGTGTGTGTGTGTGTGTGTGTGTGTGGGAAAGGGTCTCATTTCAATGATAGATTGATATATGAGCATGAGACTTGAAGGAAGTGAGGGGATCCAAAACTAGATCTCTGGGGGAAGCTGAATATTTCTTAAATACTACTCATTGTTTAATCTTTACAACAACAACACTATGTGGTAGATACTTTTATTGCTCCCATTTTACAGATAAGAGAATGTAAAGAGGTATAAAAATATAAAGAAACTTGCTTACGGCCACACTAATTACAAAGAGCAAGCTAAGGTTTGCACCTAGATCTTCCTCACTCACAAGTTGTGCTTTTATTCACCTTTCTCTCATCAAATCATGCAATTATCCAATAACAAGATTTCTATGTGTCCAATTACTGGTACCTCCCCAACAGGATAATCAATTACAACACCACACTTAAAAAGAAAAAAATTAATTTGAGAGGAAAAAGGTATTTGAAGTTTGGCTCATTAAAATAAATAAATGAGAGACACACCTCTCCACTACCCTGGTAAGTAATCTAGGTAGAGGCAGACCCGAACTTTAAGTCATGGTTCTCCAGGACAAAAAACAAGGGCTGCCCCAGCTGACCGTGTAGGAGTAGATACTGAAATTGTCTTTCAAAGCGGCAGACCCTGATCTGCCAGGAGAGGCCATGAACAGGGAAAGACCGAGAGGAAGGAGGGACCAGAAATGGAGTTTGTTGTTAGAAGTCTCTATCCTCACTTCACCTTCAGTTCACCCCTCTCTTTTAAATTAAATCTCAGCATTAGGGTTGGTTGTTTGTATCTGGCTACATAAGTGAGCTTTACACAAGGTGTAATTTATCTCAAGATTGGTCCTGCTGGGGTGGGAGGAATTGCTTCCAGGAACCTACCTCCATATGGCTCTCACTGAAGCACTACATTCCACACGGCCTTAGCCATGTGGCCTGCTGACACAGGGTGGCAGAACTGTCACCACTCTGTTGTCCAGGCTTTTAGTCTTTTGATTTCCTCCCCAATCCCTGGATGCTCACGTTAAAAAGGGAGGCCACATGCCTGTGCATGAAGTTTGTGTGTAAGGGCAGAAGGGTATTGGTAGGAAAATGGGAAACAGGGAAGCCGTGTTCTCCAGCCACTCCAGACCTAGGAATAGTAGGGTTTTGCAGCAATGGACTGACTGATTTGAGGGAAAGTGAATATACAAACCCAAGCCATCAAGGGGAAGATTATCTTACTTAATACCAGGGACAGATGTTTTCCTTTCTGCCTCTCAAGTTCAAAGAGGAAAATCGGGACAAGTGGCTTAGGTTGTAAACTTTAAGGTGAAGGATCCTTTCTGTTGAGCTTAGCCCTCAGGTTCTCAGTAGTCAACTGCGTGTGAAATATAATTAATAGCATGATAAATACAAGTTGTGGACGATTCGATTGAAAGTCGGAGGCCCCTTCCATGGGTCCCCCTACAAACAGTCTGTCATAAAGAGGGCTTAATCAACATTAGCAGGACTATTAAAAAAAAGTATCACCTATTAAAATCCAGCTCTTCTCTAGCGCCTCTTACTGGAGTTTCTCTGTGTGGGTGTGTTCGTAAGAGAGGAGTGGGTGAGCAAGCCTGTACTGGGTACAATTTATGTATCTGCAAGAGAAAACAGAAGCTCTCAATGAGGAAGAACATATGTTTCTGGGACTGCATCTGTGCAAAAAGTACACAGTCCTGAAGTTGTACTAAGAAATAAAGCTCTTTTCAAAAGTCTTTTATTTCGCGCATGTCATCTTCTTGGCACATGTCCCTCATACTGCCAAGTATGAAAGCCTGACCTTTCTCACCCTCAGGTCAGAGAAAACCACGAAACGTTTCGAGCAGTCCGACAGAGCCTGACTAACCAGATATACTACTCACTCGGGGATTCCAGAAGCGAACCTCAGTCCAAGAACAGACGTGACTCCGGGGCGCACCTGCCTGGAGGGCAGCCCCTCCCGCAACCGAGCGAAAATCACATCCTTTCCTAGACCTGGGCGGCGGCAGAGCAAACCACCCAAGCGGGGCTCTGCCCTGCCAGCAGTACCCGAGGTGACTCCAACAATATGTGCGACCCCGGGCGGACCGTGCACCTGTCCTCACTTCCCCGTGGGCGGGCCCAGCTCGCCAGGTGTCCGCGCGCGAATTGGGCCCCGCCCCCGCGCCTGGGCCTGAGTGCGCGTGCCCGGCCGGAGCCGCGCCCCCGCTCCCGGGGAGGCCGCGCTCCCCCGGGTCGGGGCCTCTGACCGGCGCGGGGGCGGGGCCGAGGGCGGGGCCTAGGGCGGGGCGGGGCTCGCGCTATCGCCTCCAGCTCCGCAGCGGCTTCGCCCGCAGGTCCCGCGGCAGGCGAGTGGCTCAGTCGCCCCCACCAGCCCCATGGCAGACCCCGGCTCCTCAGCAGAGTGCGGCTACATCCGGACCGTCCTCGGCCAGCAGATCCTGGGACAACTAGACAGCTCCAGCCTGGCTCTGCCCTCCGAGGCCAAGCTGAAGCTGACGGGGAGCAGCGGCCGCAGCAGCCAGGCGGCCAAGAGCCTGCGGATCCAGGAGCAGGTGCAGCAGACCCTGGCCCGGAAGGGCCGGAGCTTCGTGGGTAACGGTGAGTGGAGCCCCGCCCCTCGCCTGCACCGCCCGACCCTGCCCCTGGCCCCTCTCCTGCCCCTCCTTCACCCTCGTCGCCCAGCTCGCTGCGTTCCGGGCGTGTAGGACCTGGTGTTCTGCCCACCTGTTGCTGGTAGTCCCTTTGTGTGACCTGTCGGCACCTCTACACTCAGACCAGCTTTCTTGTGGAAAGCACTCTTTTAGCCGTAACCTCTTACTCAGCTTTGTCATATACGTAATCTATGTATATTAAATACACATATTATCTATGTTAAAGAATTTAGTCCAGAATTTCGCCCCTTCCTTTGCTTACTCCGCCCATGTCCACCCCCACCCCCACCCCCACCGGTAGAAGGGACTTACTCTGGGGGTCCAGAGAGTCTATGATCACTTTGAGATTCCATGCAGAATTTTGGTGTACATGATCATTTTTCTGGGAGAAAGTGCCCTTAGCTTTTATTAGATACTGTAAAGAGTCTATAACCTCCATAAATACTTTGAAAAAAGAAAACCTGAAAGCACTGGCGTTCTTACAACCTGTAAATTGAGTTTATGCTGCCTCGCCCAACTAATTTGGAGCCCTCCACCCAGTCAGTGTACACGAGACGAGGGGTTGATCTAGGAAGTGAACAAATTGGGTAGGAGGCTTTGGTCCAGGGAACAACTACCCGGCTGAGGAGGAGGAATAGGAAGGGGACTTTGGCCAGGCTGGCAGTAGTCCTGCCCGCCTAGCTGCTCCAGGCTCTTGAGCGCTGGCTGCAGTCTCCCATCCCCCAATGCAGGCGTGGGTGCAAAGCTGGTGTCTCCAAAAAATTCAATTCCCAGAGGAAAGAGACTTAAACACACACATGCACACACACGCATATTATATTAGTGATTGATAGAGGAGGTGGAAGGGGAAGATGATGACAAACCAGATGTGAAAATTAGGAAACATGATGTATCCATTTCTCCCCTGTTAAAGTTGAGTGATCAGAACTACACAATAACTCTTGCATTAGTTGTTCAGTATGTGTTTGTGTATGTGTGTGTTTCCATTATGAAAGTACTGTAGGCTGATTAGAGCAAAAAGAAGTGGAAAGAAATTGAACAATTAAATTGGGATATCAGTTTGTTTCCTGCAATGTTGAACTGTTTCTGTAGGAAGTAATTTGGGCAATGTTGACAGTAGAACCCATTAGGAAAATAGAAAAATGCTAACAGGCCAGACCACAGATTTAAAACAGGAGAGTCTAGGAGGCTGTACTGTTTTTAATTTGTGTACAAAAATCCTAAAAGATCAGGCAGTCAATGTTTATATACTTGAAAGGTAAAGAGATGATGTTCAGTGATTGTATCTAATGTAACTGAGTACCTACTGTGTGCCGAAAATTGGGCAATGTCGTTTGCATTCATTATTTACTTATATATATTTTAAAAACTTATGAGCTAGGTATTTTAATCACCATTTTATAAACGAGGAAAGTAAGCAGTTAAGTAACACTTGAGTTCTCACAGATAGTAAGTGGCAGAGCTTACAATCTCCAAAACCTGATAGTATAAACCTCTCATCAGTTTTATCAGTAAGTTTTTTTATTATTAATACAAAGTGGGATTTATTAGACCCTAAGCCTTTCTGTGGCCCTCTCCTGTTCTTCTCTAAGTAAAATTGAGGAAGTTTGGAGAGTGTGGGAAGGTCTAGACAACACAGAACTGTCACAGTACATTGGGAAAAAGACCTTAATTTTTTTTTTTTTTTGAGAGAGTCTCACTCTGTTGCCCTGGGTAGAGTGCCATGGCATCAGCCTAGCTCACGGCAACCTCAAAGTCCTGGGCTCAAGCAGTCCTCCTGCCTCAGCCTCCCAAGAAGCTGGGACTGCAGCTGCACACCACCACACCCTGCTAATTTTTTCTGTTTTAGTAGAGCTGGGTCTCGCTCAGGCTGGTCTTGAACTCCTGAGCTCAAGTGATCCTCCCACCTCAGCCTCCCAGAATGCTAGGATTAAATTTTGAGTTAGGAGTCTGACTAAAGACTCCAGGATGACTAAGGTCATTCTTTGACCAGCAGAATCATTATCCCCTTTCATTCTGTGTACCCATAGGTCCAGTGCTAAATTGAAACCAAACAAGCTTCCTCCGTTTGTGGGATGCACTGGATGCATATTAGATATTTTTTCTTATCCTATGGGAATGGCCAGCCAGGTAGAGCAACCAGACATCAATTCAATAAATGGGGGAAATAGAGAACCATGAACATAAGGAAAAGGATCATTGCTAAGCATCTACTATGTACCTGACCCTGTTCTAGAATCTTCATGTGTTTGCATTTCATTATATCCTTAAAATAAGTAGACCTGAGAATCCATTTCACCTATGAAGTATGGTTCTGCCTGTCAACATTTGTTGAAAGTTTAGTCTCAACCCCACACATGATCTGTCTTCTCTACAACATAGTACATCAACTGCTTGGTGAATTCAACAACTGTCAAATGAGTATGTACTTTGTGCAGGGCACTGTGCAGGTGCTGAATTAAACACACAAACTCTACTTGCTTTAAAGCACGAAATTTAAAGTCTGAAGAAGGAAGCCTACTTCTAGAAAAAGACATTACCAAATAAAAAGTAGTAAGCAACCCAAAAGAAGAACAGTTAACACATTATGGAATTTAGAAGTGTAGGTTGCTCCTAGCTGAAGGAAATGTTGAAAAGCTTCATGGAGGAATTGGGATTTTAGATCTCAAAAATTCAGTAGGATTGACATAGGGAGGTGATTGGAGAAAGAGCATTCTAGGAGGGAACAGAATGAATATTTCATAGTTCACAGAGTTGATATAGTAGAACAAAGGGAACTATCTTGGTGCTTCTGCAATAATACTTAGGGCAACTACTTGAGTGGCTCTTCTAACTAAGGAACAAAGCCTTTGAAATATTTTGATTGCAACTGCAGCTTCCCAGAAAGCTGAAATACACTCTGCAGCCTACACAGAAGTGCAAATCAAGCAGAGAGATAAGGCGGCAAACAACACCTACTTTAAAGCCTCAGCTTTCTGAGACTCAAAAAGGAAATCGGTTTCAAAGGAATGTAATATTAGCATGCCATGGAACAATTACCAGGGGTGGTTCATATAAGTTGTTTAATTAAAGTTCTTTGAATAGGTCTGGGGGTTCATGATGCTTGTATTATTTTTATTATTTCCTTATTACCATCCTGTCTCTAAGGTTGAAACAGACAAGCAATTGTTGAAACAGTTCTTGTCTGGAAAGAATCCTGTATCAACACAAGAAATTCCAGAAAGAAAAGCCCCTGACATTAGCTGCTATTAGTGCCAGAGCCCCAGAGAATTCTGAATTGTTGACAAACCTATAAGGTTGAGGCAGCAGATAATCTGCTGAAAACAGAGATGAGATAAATTTGGCTGTTTTGCTGATAAAATACCTTACAAGGATCTTTAACTCTTTGACTTCTTTCTAATGCCTTAATATAGTTGGGTAGTTGTCATTGTATATCACTCAGTGACTTTTGATGTTATTTTAAACTGTGGTGAACATTTTAAAGTTTGCTGTAACTCTTTGTTGGGGGCAGTCAGAAATACATAGCAGCATTGTAAAGTAAGTCTGTATTATAGCTAATATTTAAAATCCTTTTCTAAAAGTCACAGAAAAGACATTTAAAAATTGCAAGTATTAGCAAAGGGAAAAATTAAGTGTCCATATCCTATTTATTATGCTTGTCGTGAAAGTAAGTACTACTTTACTTGTTACATGGTTTCTCTTGAGTGCCTAAGTAGGAAGAAAGTCATGTTTTAAACTGTCATATGTCCTACTTATAAAGTGCAATGAACAGTCTCTTAATGCAATTTACAACACCTTTGGAAATCTACCATAAAAACTTGGAGCATGCAATTTATCTAGATGATTTCCCTGGTAAAGCTGTTTTGAATATCTGTGATCAGAGTGAATTCTGAAGAGGGGACTGAAAATTGGCTCAGGGTAGCAAAAAAAGGCAGTTACAGGTGCTACTGTAAAAAAAAAAAAAAAAAAGACATTGTTTAAATTCTGTATGAATTCTTTGTTTGCCAAAAAGGAATTCCTTGGAATGAAGCAATTCTAGGAGCAAGGTGACCAGTCATTCAGAAAGTAGGAGGGATCAGAAAAGGAGGGCAAAAAAAGAGTGAGATGGTGGGATGGCAGGGATATGGCCTTGCTGCTCGGTATGTAAGGTGTCAGTAGTTCCATGTCCGTGTAGCGTAGCACGTGGGCCACTTTTTGTTCAGTGTTTAGCAGATTGAGTGTAGTAAGTAAAAAAAAAAAAAAAAAATTTTTTTTTTTTTTTAGAAATACTTCTGATTATAATTAGTCAAATGAAATATAATGTTAACAAAATGGTGATTACAAAAAAATAAACTTCACACCCCTAGAAAGTGTGAGAACACATCTTTTACAGGTGAAGTTTTGAGTGAGGATGTGGTAGGGATGCTTCAGAATCAGTGGAACTGTAAGAAACCACAGAGAGCCAGAGAAACAGTTTGATTGTAAAAGTATATTGTTCTATGCATCACAGATAAGATGCAGGAAATTACCTTAAAGAAAATAAGACTGTTAATGTTATCAATGCGCTGTGCTATTAGTTCCACAATCATGGGAACAGAGGGTAGCTCACTAGAATTAGATATTCTAAATATTTATTGTTCACACTGGCTCATTCTCCTAAAGTGTCATTTTAGATATCAGCTTTAAATTTTTTTCTCATTTCTTAAAATAAGGATATACATACTTACATTATTTTGTCTTCACATAAATTTAACATTGATTTTACACTAAAATTGAATTTCTGGTCTGATCAATAAAAATTATTAAAAGTTTTTATTTTTCTTCTTTTAAAGAACAAGCATATTATTGGCAGCCTATCTATGATAGTAATGAAATAAAACCTGCTAAAACCTCTGGAGTTTACAAATCAGACTTGATTAATAATGGCCAATCATGAGATCATTTGGTTCCATTTCAGGTGATACTCAA